GCCAGGCCTTGCGCCTGTGCGCAGTGCGGCCGCCGCTTCAGCCGCAAGTCGCACCTGGGCCGCCACCAGGCGGTGCACACCGGCAGTCGCCCCCACGCCTGCGCCGTGTGCGCCCGCAGCTTCAGCTCCAAAACCAACCTGGTCCGCCACCAGGCCATCCACACGGGCTCCCGCCCCTTCTCCTGCCCGCAGTGCGGCAAGAGTTTCAGCCGCAAGACCCACCTGGTGCGACACCAGCGCATCCACGACGTAGCCGCCCTTCCGGCCTCTCATGCTGACCTCTCGGCCCCAGCCTGGCCCACTCCCACCGAGGTGGCAGCACCCGCGCTCTTCTTCTGAGCCTCGTTCTCTGCTGGACCCTGCCTTTGCTTTCTTTAGCTCACTGGTTCCCCAATCCCATACGCGAAATCTCCTGGGCGGTGGAGCAGATGGTCTGGCCTCCTGCTGACTATTATCTTTCCCTCTCCATCTTACTGGGGAGAAGTCTGGAAAGGATAACTTGGACATTCTGTGACAAAAATGCTAAGTGAACCCTTGGTGGGAACAGTTCAGGCCTGAGTCCTTGAAAAACTACCACCAAGAGACCCCATCAGAAGACAGACATTTCCTGGACCTACCCCGGCCAAGGACTGACTAAGTCAGGAACCTCTACAGGGGGAGGGAAAGTCTGTGTACATAAGTTTCATTAAAATTAAAAACTGAAGGCCTTGGGGCTATTAAATAAGTTGAGGGATGGAACCCCCTGACTTTTCTCATCCATTTCCCCACCTTAACCGACACACAGATACCCCCCTTCCCTTCTATCCTGGATGAGTTTAATTTAGCTGGTAATGGGCTCTACCAAACCAAAATATAATACAGCGAATTGCTAAATCACTACCCTGCTCCCTGCTTCTAGCTCAGATTTGATGAAGAGGAAACATTAGTATACATTTCTCATGCCGGGTGTGGAAGGCTAGAACTATAGGAGATGCAGAGAGGGGAGAGCGTGCCCCTGGCCATTTCCATGGAGATGTCGTGCCACCCTGGGCTCTGGAGCTCTCATGCTCTGTCTCTGTAGCTGTCCCCAGGGGATCTCAGAACAGCAGCCCCATCTACCACTCTGCCTGGCAGCCTGAGGAAGGACGTTAGTGGCAGATGAAGGTTGTTCTCCCATCACACTTTCTGATAAGTTCTCTCTTCATGATGGATGCTTGATCCAGACATGTCTGCAGCTGTACTTCCCCAGCCTAGGCAGGCAGGCAGGCAGGCTGGCAGGGACAGGGAGGGATAAGATTATGGGGAACATGTTGGACTTGGAGTAAGAAGTCTGACATTTGACCCTTCCTTGGCCTCTTGGAGGACTTGGCGCAGAGCACTCATGTTCCTGGGCCTCTGCTTTCTCATTACAATATGAGTGTTGATGTTGATGATGGCTGAGGGCCTTTCCAATTCTAATGTCACTATCACCAAAAATAACCCTAGCAAATACTTATTTGGGTGCCCACTATTTGCCAAGCACTGCAGTGGGCACTGGGCAACAATTGTAAGCAAGACAGGACTGTCACAGAGCTTGGAGGAAATGTGAGGAGTGTGCGGTACGGTGAGCACAGAGGGCACTTGGAGTGGCATCCAAAATCCAGGGAAAGTCAAACGAGGTTCGTGGGATGAGGACACCTCCAAAGTGAGCCCTGAAGGATGGGGAAAAATACCAAGTGAGTAGTCCTTCCTCCTGGTCCTTTTCCTGGGCTCCCATCTCCCTTCTATCCCAGTCTCCTAATTGCAACTGGTCTAAATATGCAAGACCTGGGAAATCTTAAATGGAACCCAGTCCCACAGCCATTCTGGTGACGACCATCGTGTTGTGGGAGGTGGGGAAAGATGAAGAACCAGGCTGCCCTCCTGAGTCAGAGCACAGCAGTGAACAGAGGACAGCACCTCTTGCCTGCTTGGGGCTTCAAGACCATCCCTGCAACTCACCTGGCTCCTTCGAGCACCACCACCAATGAACTGGCAGCCAGAGCTCACACGCGCTCCATTCCTAAGTTGTTGTTGTCTTTCTACTTTGAGGAGGAAGGGAAATGGTCAGTGAAGTAACCAGCCTGGTGTGCTTTAAATACAGGTTTCCCCCACTATCTTAAAGGAGAGCATTCCTAGGAAACCTTTCATGAGCCGAAATGACGGGAAATGAAGAGGCAGTCACCTTAGGACATAGCTTGCTTGTGGATGCACAGAATAAATGGAGATGAAGGACAGCCGCTCACAGAGTACAAAGCTGTGGTGGTTGGGTGCTGGGATGCTGAGTGTGGTTCCCAGGAAGGAGCTTTGCAGTGTCACTCTCACTGCTTGGGGGTGCACTGCCACTATAAGGGCAAAACAAATGCTGGGCACTAGAGCAAAAAATCTTCAGATTCCTTTCAGTTAGCAAAAGCAGGTCCTCATGGAGGTCTTCCATAAAAACGAAGTGGTGTAAAGAGAACTTTCGAATAGCGGGGGACATCTGCAAACCTCACAGCCGGTGTGCTTTATATTAGAAGATATTCAAATGCTCACAGTGCTCCTATTTCCCATCTGGGTAGCGCTAGGCTTGGGAAACTAAGTTAGTGATAAAGAGGGTGTTTGGCAGCCATGGAATCGGAGTAGGGAGACTAAGATACACGATCCAGGCTTTCGTCAAGTCTGCCTGTCACTGAAGTAGTAAGACGAAGAACTTTCCGTGTGGCCTCCTCTGGTACCTCCTCTCCGTCTGCAGGGTTGGATGAGAACTGTTGGTCAGAGTGACCTGCTGGACATCCCTATGAATCTGGAGTCAGAAAGATTCCAGATGTTCCCAAGGATGGGCTAACTCAGCAGGCAGGGAGACTGGCACTGGATCCCTCTACACATAAAGACTGGCGAGCTTTAAAGTCGACACAGCCTGGAGCAAACGTTGTAGGGAACTGAACAGAAGAGTTGGCGTCGTGGCATTTACGGTCCACATAGAAGAAAAGCAGCTGGTCACTTTGGCACCCGGAATGCTGGGTGCTCTGAGACACTCACAAGCCTAAATCATAGATGGGAGAGAGGCTTGAGTTTCACAAAACACCTTAGACCATCACACGTGGTGGTATGGGCCCAGGTGTTAGAGTCTGTTCTTCAGGATACAGGCTTTGGGAGCAATGAAGTACACCTGAGGGTGGGGGTGGTCTCCGAGGAGGTGGGGTGACTTGCTGAGGTCACACCTGCTCAGACTGGGCTCCTGGCCAGCCGGGCACCGCGGTTACATTCACCCACCACGTTCACCAATGTCTGTCTCCTGGGAGAGGAACGGGGCTTCCCGCCCTAGTGCCTGAGGCAGCTAGCCACATTCCTGGGTAACAGACACTTGAGAAAAAGCATGAAGCAACTGAATGTGAGTTCACGTATCAGTTGTAAAATGTTCCCTTTCCAGAAGTGATTGTGAACTGTGGAGAACCCTGAGGCGAGGACATGGGAGTCTGTGTGGAAGGGTGGCTGTCAGCTGTGACTGGCTTGTAATCTGGGTAAGAGCCTGCAGCACAGGCTTCAGTGACACTGCCCAGCCCAGCCCATCTCCAGGGCCCTGGGTCTGAAAATTTGCCTGTCTATCTCACCTGCCCTGCTGGCCTCCCTGCTGCGCACACAGAGCTGGAGTGGGGTGGGGCCCGTAGGGTGATTCGGGGTTCTGAAAAGCCGGGTCTGTGCTCCCAGACTCCTTCACCAAATGCACCGTGTTCATTTTTCAGGGCTCCTGGAGCAAAGCACTACAAACTGAGGGGCAGAAAACAGCCAACATTTACCTTCTCACAGTTCTGGAGGCCAAAAGTCCAAAATCAAGGTGTGGGCAGGGCCACGTTCCCTCCAAATGTTCTGGGGCAGATGTGTTCCAGGCCTCGCCCCCATCGTCTGGTGATGAGGGCAATCCTTGCTGTTCCTTGACCTATAGCCTCTTCAGTCTAACTGCTGCCTCTGCGCCCCCCACCCCGACCCCGGCCTGCTCTCTCTGTGTGTGCATCTGTCTGTCTCTGTCTCCTCTTTCCTTATACCCAGTCATGTTGGATTAGGGCCTCCCCAGTGACCTCATCTCGACTGCATCTGCAAAGACCAGATTTCCAGATAAGGTCACATTCACAGTTACTGGGGTGAGGACTCCAGCATCACTTTTGGGGACACATGTCAAACCCATCGCAAGGAAATCACTGAGATACTGTGCCAAAGCTGGAGGAGGAGAGACTGAAATGCAAGCTCCTGATGTTGGGAGGAGGGGTGGACTGGCTTCACTGAGGAGGGAAGGGGGCGCAGGCAGCGTGGTTTTGACCAGACTGGACTTGCATTCTCCAGAGCTCTGGCCTTCCACGTGGAAGGCTGAGAAACTAGCTTTGGAGATGCACCAGAGCATTCAAAAAAGCTGAACGATACTAACAGAAATGTTGTTTTTCTGTTCCTTTATTTTACAAGTGATTTTTTAAATGTCTGTTTTCTTACTTCAATAACAGTAAAATAGCTTTGACGTGATTGTAAATAAAGAAAAAGCACAGTTGACTTTGAGGACTGTAGGAGCAGCTGAGAACTGAGCTATCTTCCATCAAATGTGACTGTTTTGTTTAGTGTTTCCATAAACTCTGTGTGTGTGTGTGTGTGTGTGTGTGTGTGTGTGTGTGTGTGTGTGTGTGCCTGTTCTAGAATTTATTTGTGGAGAGACAAGAGATGGTGGAGTCACATGTGGGTGACACTGACTTGAGGGGTAAATGGGTTTGAAGGGCAGGGGGGTTCAGAGAGATGGGCTGAGCTTGGGTGGGGGGCTTCTGGACAGCAACTTGGGAGAGAGAGGATGGGAAGACTGAAGCAAGATGGATTATTCTCTAAGAGTGAAATCTTTTTCTGCTCCATGAGACTCAAGAACCTTCCTCAGAGTTGTGGTGGGGCATGGCCTGTGGTCACAGCATGGCAGATGCCTTCCTGGAGGAAAGTGATTCCAGGGGCCTGGTAGAGACCCGTGCCCACCCCTAGGTTGGGGAAACAGACCACTCTACCTTGTGGATACTTTGTTAACCAGAGACAAGTCTATATTTCACAGTCATAGGTGTTCAGTCTGTTGCAAACGGTGACATCCTGTCCTTTCGTGGGAGCAATTATTTAGGGAAAGACTGCAGGGTGCTGTCCTGGGGCCTCGCAAGTATGGGAGAAGCAGGGCTCTCAGAGGAAGGGGGCACTGGAGTCCTCACGATGAGGCGTTGCCGACAGAGCTTGACTGAAGGCTTTTAGGAAACATCTTCCCAACTACCTGACAGAGGACAGAGTTTCAGGCTAGGGTTAGGTCAGCCTCAGGGCAGGCGCGTTCTTGGTCCACACCAGGATGGGGGTTGACGGCTGACTTACGGAACATTCATTAGGAGCAGATGGATTCTGCTTCAGGCTCTCCAGATGCCAGACCCAGGCTCCCCTCCAGCCCAGGCGAGCAGTTCCTGCATCGCTCAGAGCCCCTCTCTTGCTGAGCTTTCCTCTCTCAAGATTTCCCTGGAGTGCTTTCAGGGCCCCCGGAACTCCATCCTGTGCCCCAGCTTACTCTCAAAAGGGCTGTATTTTGGTGGGTGAGGCTAACTGTCTCCCAGTAGCTGATCCTTGAGTCATTTCCTCCGGGATGCTGGCCTTCGCATCCACAGCGTGTGGTCCTCACTGCATGTTCACCCAAGCCTGGGTCTGCGGATCACCCGGCCTGATACCGCCTCCTATCAAGTCTGGGCTCCAGCTTCTCTCACTTT